AAAAAAAAAAAAAAAAGTCTTCCAACTAACAAAAGCCCAGGGCCAGGTGGGTTCACAGGCGAATTCTATCAAACGTTTAGAGAAGAGCTGACACCTATCCTTCTCCAACTCTTCCAAAATATAGCAGAGGGAGGACCACTCCCAAACTCCTTCTACGAAGCCACCATCCCCGATACCAAAACCAAAGATGTCAAAAAAAAAGAAAGCTACAGGCCAATATCACTGATGAACATACATGCAAAAATCCTCCACAAAATACTAGCAAACAGAATCCAACAGCAGATTAAAAGGATCACACACCATGATCAAGTGGGGTTTATCCCAGGAATGCAAGCATTCTTCAGTATATGCAAATCAATCAATGTGATACGCCATATTAACAAACTGAAGGATAAAAACTATATGACCATCTCAATAGATGCAGAAAATGCTTTTGACAAAATTCAGCACCCATTTATGATTAAAAAAAAAAAAAAAACTCTCCAGAAAGTAGGCATAGAGGAAACCAACCTCAACATAATAAAGGCCATACATGACCAACCCACAGCCAACATCATTCTCAATGGTGAAAAAGTGAAACCATTTCCACTAAGATCAGGAACAAGACAAGTTTGCCTAATCTCACCATCATTATTCAACATAGTTTTGGAAGTTTTAGCCACAGCAATCAGAGAAGAAAAAGAAATAAAAGGAATACAAATTGGAAAAGAAGAAGTAAAACTGTCACTGTTTGCAGATGACATGATACTATACATAAGAATCCTAAAGATGCTACCAGAAAACTACCAGAGCTAGTCAATGAATTTGGTAAAGTAACAGGACACAAAATTAATGCACAGAAAGCTCTTGCATTCCTATACACTAATGATGAAAAATCTGAAGGAGAAATTAAGGAAACATTCCCATTTACCAATGCAACAAAAAGAATAAAATACCTAGGAATAAACCTACCTAAGGAGACAAAAGACCTGTATGCAGAAAACTATAAGACACTGATGAAAGAAATTAAAGATGATACAAGAAGATGGAGAAATATACCACGTTCTTGGATTGGAAGTCAACATTGTGAAAATGACTATACTACCCAAAGCAATCTACAGATTCAATGCAATCCCTGTCAAACTACCAGTGGCATTTTTCACAGAACTAGAACAAAAAATTTCACAATTTGTATGGAAACACAAAAGACTCCGAATAGCCAAAGCAACACTGAAAAAGCAAAACGGAGCTGGAGGAATCGGACTCCCTGACCTCAGACTATACTACAAAGCTACAGTAACCAAGACAGTATGGTACTGGCACAAAAACAAATATAGATCAATGGAACAGGACAGAAAGCCCAGAGATAAACCCATGCACATATGGTCACCTTATCATTGATAAAGGAGGCAAGAATATACAATGGAGAAAAGACAGCATCTTCAATACGTAGTGCTGGGAAAACGGGACAGCTACATGTAACAGAATGAAATTAGAACACTCCCTAACACCATACACAAAAATAAACTCAAAATGGATTAAAGATCTAAATGTAAGGCCAGACACTATCAAACTCTTAGAGGAAAACATAGGCAGAACACTCTGTGACATAAATCACAGCAAGATCCTTTTTGACCCACCTCCAAGAGAAAAGGAAATGAAAACAAAAATAAACAAATGGGACTTAATGAAACTTCAAAGCTTTTGCATAACAAAGGAAACCATAAACAAGATGAAAAGACAACCCTCAGAATGGGAGAAAATATTTGCAAATGAAGCAACTGACAAAGGATTAATCTCCAAAATATACAAGCAGCTCATGTAGCTCAATATCAAAAAAAACAAACAACCCAATCCAAAAATGGGCTGAAGACCTAAATAGACATTTCTCCAAAGAAGATATACAGATTGCCAACAAACATATGAAAGGATGCTCAACATCACTAATCATTAGAGAAATGCAAATCAAAACTACAATGAGGTATCACCTCACACCAGTCAGAATGGCCATCATCAAAAAATCTACAAACAATAAATGCTGGAGAGGGTGTGGAGAAAAGGGAACCCTCTTGCACTGTTGGTGGGAATTTAAATTGCTCCAGCCACTATGGAGATTCCTTAAAAAACTAAAAATAGAACTACCATATGACCCAGCAATCCCACTACTGGGCATATACACTGAGAAAAGCATAATTAAAAATGAGTCATGTACCACAGTGTTCATTGCAGCACTATTTACAATAGCCAGGACATGGAAGCAACCTAAGTGTCCATCAACAGATGAATGGATAAAGAAGATGTGGTACACATATACAATGGAATATTACTCAGCCATAAAAAGAAATGAAATTGAGTTGTTTGTAGTGAGGTGGATGGACCTATAATCTGTCATACAGAGTGAAGTAAGTCAGAAAGAGAAAAACAAATACCATATGCTAACACATATATATGGAACCTAAAAAAAAAAGTAAAAAATAGTCTGAAGAACCTAGGGGCAGGACAGGAATAAAGATGCAGACACAGAGAATGGACTTGAGGACACGGGGAGGGGTAAGGGTAAGCTGGGACAAAGTGATAGAGTGGCATGGACACATATACACTACCAAATGTAAAACAGATATCTTGTGCAAAGCAGCTGCATAGCACAGGGAGATCAGCTCAGTGATTTGTGACCCCCTAAAGGGGTGGGATAGGAAGCGTGGGAGGGAGACACAAGAGCGAGGGGATATGGGGATATATGTATACATAGAGCTGATTCACTTTGCCATACAGCAGAAACCAACACACCACTGTAAAGCAATTATACTCCAATAAAGATGTTAAAAAAAAACAAACTGTATCAGTGTGCCTCCAGTAATATTAGGGTTATTTTAAGTTATCATTTCATGCCCTTTCTCTGAGCACCTTAAGATGCAGGATTAAGCACTGATTTCATACATTATCAGATGTAATTCACCAAGGAAAAGGGATATAAAGAGAAACTGTCTGGTCCCCAACTGGCTTGTGGAGCCATATCCATGCAGAGGATCACTTCAGAGTAAATTACTTAGGCTGCAGATTCCAGGTGGCATGGAAATGTTTGAGTCCTTGCAATGCATTTCTTCAAAATTGGTACCATGTGTCCCGTCCTCAAACCGTGTCAAGTAGGGTGAGTGTGATCATACTGTGGTCATGGAACATTGCTATCATGGAACTTCCTATCAATGCTCTGGATGAATAGGGGCAACACCGGCCAGGGAAGCTAACAGGCAAAGGAGGAAGGTACAAAGGTGAGTAGGTTACGCTAGCCTTTCTCTCACTGAGAGCATCTGTCAAGTCCCCGGCATTCCTGAACACGT